GGGGCTAGGGACTTTAATTTTAGGGGGATTTTTAATTTTAGTTTATTTAACTTTTATTTTTAATTTATCTTAAAATTAAATAAACTAAAAATTAAAGTTAAAAAAATTATTTTTTTAACCTTTTTTTTTACTTAATTGCTGGGAGCAATAGCCAGACTGGCTTGCTATTGGATATTTCAAATTGCAAAAGCCAATAACAGACTGGCTACTGCACCTGCCCACTGCCTGCTGTCAATCAGCAGAGGAGGGACCTAAAGTTCTCCATCAGGTCCACCTATGTTGATTGACAGCAGGCAGTGGGCGGGAAGACTCTTTCATCGTAGTCCTCGCCAATGCTGGTGTAGATCCTGGGCAACTGATCGGCAACCGGGCGGAAGAGAATACGCAGAGTGATGTTGACATTCTGCAGATCTAGGAAGATACAACAAGAGTGGTGTGTATGTGGTGAGGCATCGGAATGTTTATCATTATTAGGACTTTATTTACCAATACTCACCTTTACTTCCTGTAATAACAGGGAGGTTGCGGGGACGGGACCGGCAATCGAAGAAGATTGGTCTCTGCACCCAGGGGATGAGGAAGTGTGTGCCTTCGTCTACTACCTCTTCTTTAACTCCTTGGAATCTGTCAAATATGACAGCGCGGTGGCCGGCATCCACTGATGGGTAGAGAAGACAAATCATGATTACAAAGCAGAATGAGAACTGGAAGACTGGTAAGATATGATGTAAGGCTTGTGTATGCATGTGATCTTATTAGCCACACCCCCCTCGTATTTGGGGGAACGACTCTTCTGTTTATAGGTATATTACATATTTAGGAGGTTCATTCTAAGCACGTGAGCCCATGAGGTTACATTGGATTTTCTAGATACATTGCAATACTGTATTCCAGACCTGGAGTAGGCAACCTCAACATTCCAGCTGTGGTGGAACTACAAATCCCATAGGGCATTGCAAGACCGAAAGCCATGACTCCCAGAGGCAGATGTATGATGGGATTTGTAGTTTTTACCACAGCTAGAGTGCCAGAGTTTGCCTATCTCTGGTTTAAACAAAAAAATAAAGTTCCTGACTGCAAAAGTTCTACTTCCAGACAAAGCTTTTCCTTGCACATTGTGCTGACAATCATCCAAAAATCATTTCTTTGTTTCAGCACATTCGCCAAGATAAGTCAAACTACACTTTGAGAGTGGATATGTTTGACTCCTTTAGTAAATCAGGACCAGTGTGTAAAAAGAAATTCCTAGAAGCAGATTTTGATTAAAAATGAATTGTTTTCCAAACTGCACTTGTCTCCAAATGCCAAGGCCGGAAACCATCAGATAGAGGGACTGTTAGTCAGAACGTCTCTCTTATAACTTACTGACTCTACACAAGGTCTCAGCTAAAGGCTCAAGTATGGGGGGGGGGGCAGGGGGGTCATCAAAACTGGAGCAGACAGAAGCTGGTTGCCCATAGCAACCAATCAGCTGCTCTCTTCAGTGTTAAGCTTGGAAAAGGAAGATAGAAGCTGGATTGGTTGCCATAGGCAACTGCTCCAGATTCTGTGTCCAAGTGAGGGCACCTGTACTTGCACAGATGTGCAGATTTGGGTCTGCAGTAGGGACGCACTGATACCGTTTTTACGAGTACAGATATTTATCTTTTGGTACTCGCCGATACCGGTACTTCCCCTACCATGGAGCCAGGGGTGCACGCCGTGTGAATGAGCCCCAACATTGGTCAAATGCATGCTGACCAAAGACAAATGCATCTGAGCTGGGGATCCTGGAAGAGGTGCTTCTCATCAATCAGCGTGATCATGTGACCGCTCCGACCAATGAGTTCTGGCTATTTGAGAGCATTATGCTCATTACATACTGTGGGGCTGTGACGTGCGGTGTAGGGACTGTACACCGGCTGCGGGGGGGAAATCACACAGAAAGTACAGTGGGGGTGGAATGCTGTCGGTAAGTTCATTGTTACACATTTTGAAAGAAAGTGAACTTATCCTTTCAGGGGGCGTCCCGAGGCAGGGTGTCATCCGGAGCGTGTACCGGGTGACACCACTGCACATGCGCGTGACTTATGTGCTGTTACCTGCCGGCGGCCATCTCGGTGCTGGATGCCAGCAGAGAGAGGAGGAGATGTTCATCCGGCGGGATAAGGTATGCCGCCGGGTCCCCTCCTTTCTCATGCAACTGTTGGGCTCTCGGTCCATGACTTTTCAGAGGGGGGTGACACCAAAATGACTGTCAGTCATTTTGGCGTCACCTGGGTGCAGAATGCACCCTCCTAGTGATGCCACTGTACACGTTAAAAAAGCGTAGAGTGAAGCGGTTAGCAGCTCATTAGATGTGATATATATCCGCATTTCACTCACCAGTAAACAAGGCGGATTTGAGGACCCCTCCGGCCACTAATAGTCCAAATCCAACCTTTCCAATCGTTTCAAAGAGTTTCGCCATCGTTCACTGGTCCTGTATGAAAACAAACACGCTGCTGTTAAATCTACATACGGCTTCTGGTGATCTGCATTACCGGGCGATGCATGGACGCGGTCTGAGCTCCTTATACTGAAAACACTGATGGTAAGCTGTCACTATGCCACATCCAACTAATGTTTTTGATGATTTATTGGATTCAGATAATGTTTACACGAAGGACCCCCCCACTAATGGTGCTTCCAGGTACGGAAGAGCATGTGACCTTGAGTGCTCAGCTTTCTGATTGGCCAGGCCTTAACACTATCACATGGTTGAACGTGGAAGGTCACGTGACCTATAGGCTCCCATACAGGTAACTTACACAGAAATGGTCACTCTGGTAAACTGGACAGCACAGATAATGTATTGTAAGTAGGGGCATCAAGAGAACCTGCCGTGACTGAGAAGACAGTAACAGGCTCTTTAATAACTATCCCGCTCCATTTCCTCATAAGACCTCTCCACCCCATGTGTGTCATTCTAAAGCCTTTCTGCGGACACACAGCCACCGTCTATCACCCCTCCAGTGTCCCCGGGCTCCACCAGCCCCGCACTCACCTCCTCACTGCTCTGACCTCCACATGAGCCGAAATCCCGCACTGCGCATGCGCGACCTATGTCCTTCAGCAACCAGTCTACTATACCCCGCCCAGCGCCCCGCTGCATCCTGGGATGTGTAGTTATCCGCTCCATTCCATTGCTTGGTTATTGCGCAGGCAAAGACTACAATACCATAAACCTGCGGGGCGAGCAGCGTGCGCTGATTGGTGGAAATGCAGAGCCGTTCTAGGCACGTGGTGACAGGAGGGAGGGGAAGGTGGTATGGTTCGCTTATATATTACAGGAAGGAGGAGCGGAGGGATGACATGGGTCGTTTTTACCGCCTTGGGTGATTAGTCCTTGCTGCTTCAAAAGATCAACTTTGGACGCAACACTTTCATTCAAATATATTTATATGTATAAGCATTTGAAAAATCGTAAATACTGTGAATGAGGGCAGAGAAGTGGGCTGAGTGATGGGTGGGGCTAACATGGATAGGGTGGAGCCAGGTGCACCATTCCAGGCGGGGCTAACATGGATAGGGTGGAGCCAGGTGCACCATTCCAGGCGGGGCTAACATGGATAGGGTGGAGCCAGGTGCACCATTCCAGGCGGGGCTAACATGGATAGGGTGGAGCCAGGTGCACCATTCCAGGCACTGTCGGTGCACCTGGCTTCCCCCTACACACCATACCAGGCACTGTCAAAGCACCTGACTCCATCTACACACCATTCCAAGCACTGTCAATGCACCTGGCTCATAATGAAGTATTACCTTACATTCTGCCTGAAAAGAAAATATACTAAGAATGTTTTTGCCTCTATTCGCGCAGAACAAATGTTCACAGAGATTTGCAGGGTGAATTGTTTATAAATAGACCCCTTCATTATCCTTCCTGCAGCTTCTATTGTTTGCTTGATTGTTGTCCAGTTCCTAGATGTGATTATCTCCTAAAGGGCTGTCTTCTGTGTCCTCTGTACTCTTCATTTCCTACCTTTCCCCCGAATTACTCTGTCTATCATAGGCAACCTATAGTTGCTTCCAATCTCTTTTGCTTAATTGGCACAGGCATCCTTCAAATACTTTAATGAATCATTCTTCACTGTTACGTTGTCTGGGATTGATTTTTCATTGGTTCCAATCTTCTCTAACGATGGATGTCCCTCTGAATAAACAATGATGTACCCCCATTTAATTGTGTCATTGTCAGCACTTCGATTTTGGTCTCCTAGTATTATGTAATCCTTCATCCATATCATCCGCTACTTTCAGCAGCTGCTCATAACATTTGTTTTTCATTTTCTTACTGACATCATTCCAGGCCCACATTATAATCCTAATTTGTCATCCATTCCATCTCTACTCTGGTAACAAAGATCCATCCTTGGAAGTTCGTTTTCAATTCCAAGTAAATCAGACGTTTGATTCCTCTTCCGGCTCTTTGCATCTTGGGAACATCTGAATATAGGAAGTTGACCACATTCTTGGCCTTTTCTTTTGGGTTTTGTTATATCGAGGATCTTCACTTTGTTTTGTCCAGGTCTTTAACCAGCTCTAGCTGTAGCATGATTGGCTTTGGACCCCACAGCATCACCAGACAAATGTGGGCCCTACAGAAGGCCAAGCCACAGAATTTAAACAGCTGCCCAGAATTCACTAGCTCACCCCTGAAAGGGTGATGGACTTCATTGTGGAATGGCTCTCTTGTGGAGTTCGCTGTGAAATGGCTCTCAGCTGTGGAATTCACTGTGGAATGGCTCTCAGGTTGCATACTTCACTGTAAAGTGGTTTTCAGGTTGTGGACTTCCTTATGGAATGGCTGCCATGATGTGGACGTTCCTGTGGAATGGCTCTCAGGCTGCATACTTCACTGTAGAGTGGTTTTCTGGTTGCATACTTCACTGTAGAGTGGTTTTCAGGTTGCATACTTCACTGTAGAGTGGCTTTCAGGTTGTGGACTTCCCTGTGGAATGGCTTCCAGGTTGTGGACCTCCCTGTGGAATGGCTATCAGGTTGCATACTTCACTGTAGAGTGGCTTTCAGGTTGTGGACTTCCCTGTGGAATGGCTTCCAGGTTGTGGACTTTCCTGTGGAATGGCTTCCAGGTTGTGGACCTCCCTGTGGAATGGCTATCAGGTTGCAGACTTTACTGTAGAATGGATGTCAGGTTGCAGACTTTACTGCAAAATGGCTCTCGGGTGGTGCACTTCACTGTGGAATGGCTCCCAGGTTGTAGACCTTACTGTGGAATGGCTCCCAGGTTGTAGACCTTACTGTGGAATGTCTCTGAGGTTGTGAACTTCACTGTGGAATGGCTGTCAGGTTGTGCACTTCACTGTGGAATGGCTCTGAGGATGTGGACTTCACTGTGGAATTGCTCCCAGGTTGTAGTCCTTACTGTGGAATGGCTCCCAGGTTGTAGACCTTCTGTGGAATGGCTCCCAGGTTGTAGACCTTACTGTGGAATGGCTCCCAGGTTGTAGACCTTACTGTGGAATGGCTCCCAGGTTGTAGTCCTTACTGTGGAATGGCTCCCAGGTTGTAGTCCTTACCGTGGAATGGCTCCCAGGTTGTAGTCCTTACCGTGGAATGGCTCCCAGGTTGTAGACCTTACCGTGGAATGGCTCCCAGGTTGTAGACCTTACTGTGGAATTGCTCCCAGGTTGTAGACCTTACTGTGGAATGGCTCCCACGTTATAGTCCTTACTGTGGAATGGCTCTCACGTTATAGTCCTTACTGTGGAATGGCTCTCAGGTTGTAGACTACACTACGCAATGGCTCCCAGGTTGGCCCAAGACCTCTCTGCAGTTTTTGAATGCTTTTTTAACTTGAAATTTTCAGCAATGAAGCCTGCAGAGCATTGTGCCCATGGGTGTATTTCACAGGCTCTTGCAGTGTATTCCCCCAGCCCCACGTCTGTACAGAGGTACAGACCTGGCTGGAGGAAACGTGCTGCTGAACTAATAACCAGGGAAAGGGAAGAGGGATCCCCGGCGCACCCTGCATAGTCCCATGGTGACAGATGGGACTTGTGGTAAATTAATTCATCGTTCCTGGACCTTGATGATGGAGCCATTAAAAAAATTTGAGGGTTCCCTGGGAAGATTCACCCCATCATTCAGGTAAGGGGGCAGTGTTGGTTTTACAGGTGGGGTATGCAACCATGTTTCATGTTACACCCTAAATATGGAAGTAACATGAAAAATTGAAAATGGTATAAAATGTTGACTTAGCTGTTAAAGATAAACTCCAATTTTTTTAAAAAGTTGACCCTTGCAGCGGCGCTACCCCTGCAACTTAAGAGTTAACTGCTCATTTGTCTCTAGGGACGCGAATACAGAAGATGTGCCCAACTGATCCTTGGTCCCTAGGTGTCATCACATCTAATGCAACTGAATGGACTGCTTTTCCCAGCAGGGCTTAGACTGCTGGAACCCAGGGGAGAAGAGGCTATGGGGTCAGGTCTAGCAGCCAGGTAGGATCGAGGGTCAGGTGAATATAATTTTTTTTTTAATTTGAGCCACCTAGTGACTAAGGAAAATGTTTAGAGGCCACTAGACCAAAACATAGGGTTGCCACCTTTTCTTCCATCGAAAATCCGAACACTCTAGCGACACACTGAATTTTTGGGGGGAGAATGAGTCGCGGCTTATTCATATGTAAATACTGCCACCCATTCATATGTAAATATCACAGCCGAGGCTATTTTCAGTGGGGTGCCAGTAGCCCCTATGTTAATTTTGGTTGCCCCTGCCTGCCTGACATCTTGTGTCCGGGTTTCAGCTGCCGTGAAACCCCCGCACACAACATTCAAAACCCGTACTGTCTGAGTGAATCCTGGACAGGTGGCAACCTTTACCAAAACAAACAATTAACTCTTGCAGTGAGGAGGTAGCCCCACTGCAAGAGTTAACTATTTAGCTTCCTGGAGTTCCCCGTTAAAGGAGATCTTTACTATGTAAGCATTGAGGCTGCCATTGCTGGCCTCCTTCTGAAAAAGCTGTTTGCCTGGCTGGTAAAGCAATGCCTTGGGTAGCATGTCTCCTGTACAATTCCTCTGCTTTTATTGTCAAGTTTTAACGAGAATGTAGAGAGCAGAGACGATAAACGATTCTCCTTTGCTGCCAAATGTTTTGTGTAGACGCACAATTACATGCATGCTAACCTCATTCATCTCAGTGCTGTACAATCCAGTCGTCTATTGAGCTCTTTGACCACAAGAGGTCCCCCACGTGTCGCTCTCTGCCATCCTGGCTCATTTGTATCTGGGCACTGTGACTTTCAGATTTATGGTAATTACCACAGGCTGAAGTTAAAGTTGGCAGCAGAAAATGCCGAACATCGCACTTTCGCCAGTTTTGTTTATTTATGGAGCTGTGATTGCATAAAATTTCAGGATGTTTTGGGAAACACAAATCACAGGCGGCACATATCACTGTTGCGCTGTACAAAATTGCTTGCCGAAGGTTGGCAACGCTGATTGCAAAGCAGCAAGACTCTTCCTGAGTTCTTTGGATTGAGTCACAGCATGCAATTAGTATGGCAATGCTGGGGATTCTGATTAATGTGTCATGTTATAGGCCAATTTTCATAGAGTTTCATACAGGAAATTGTTGCACATCTGTCTCTGTACCATGTTTTATATATTCCCCTCCCACCCATTGTCAGTAGCAGATTACAAAATCCAAGATATCACCAGCACACTATGGTTGGATGAGAGGACAGGACACTTTATTGTCACCAACAGGAAGGAATGTTTTGAGTCCACTAAGGACCTCTTCCTCAAGCAGCAGTGACTAAGGAAGATGTTTCAAGCCCATTAAGGACCTCTTTCTTGGTCAGCAGTGACTAAGAAAGATGTCTCATGGCCATTAAGGACCTCTTTCTTGGTCAGCAGTGACTATGAAAGATGTTTCAAGGCCACTAAGGACCTCTTTCTTGGTCAGCAGTGACTAAGAAATATGTTTTCAGAGCACTAAGCCTCTTCCTTAGGCAGCAGTGACCAAGGAAGATATTTCAAGGCCATTAAGGACCTCTTTCTTGGTCAGCAGTGACTAAGGAAGATGTTTGAGGCTAATAAGGACCTCTTCCTCAGGCAGC